TCGATAATTGAGCTATCCGTCGATCGGCTGTAGCGAGCTGAAACGTCACGCATAATGAGGTTGCCTTCGAAATTAGCTGGTTTCAAACGGTCGATACTGACAGTATCTTCACATCCATCTCGCTCGATTATGTAGAATTTCTCGTGTTGCTTGATCACTTTGAATGGCCTGACGTAGGGCGGTTCAAGTGGTCGACGAACGGCGTTGTGGCGAATAAACATGTGTGACGTCTTCTAAAACTGGGATGAACGAAAACATCAGTCGTTTGAGGTCTAACCGGAGAAGCGCAAACTGAACGCACTGCATTTGTAAGCCTAGTCACGCAAGATGCCCTGTCGGAAACATGTTTGAAAGTTGAAGGGGAAACAAACTCACCTGGTAGGCGAAGAGTGGTCCCATAGACGAGTTCTGCAGGAGTACATCCAGCATCAACTTTCAACGCGTTACGAATACCTAGTAGGACTAGAGGCAGAGCCTCGGTCCACTGAGGTATGTTTGTAGCTGAAAGGGAAGCTTTCAGCTGTCGATGGAAACGCTCTACCATGCCATTTGCTTGTGGATGGTAGGCTGTCGTTCGGAACCGAGTGCAACCTAAAAGTGCCGTTAGAGCGTGAAATAATCCACACTCAAATTGGCGCCCACGGTCGGTTGTGACGTAGATGGACATCCGAAGTTCGCGATCCATCTTTCGACGAAAACACGAGCAACTGTTTCGGCAGTAATATCTTAATGGGTACTGCTTCCGGCCATCGTGTGAAACGATCAACACAGTGAAAAGGTAGGTACATCCATTAGATTCTGGTAGGGGTCCTACAATATCTATATGGACGTGGTCGAAACGCATGTCTGGGGCTAGAAATGAGCCTAAAGGGCTTTTCGTGTGTCGCGTGACTTTACACTTTTGACAAGCTAAGCACGACTGGCCCACTCCTTAACGTCTTTGTTCATCCCAGGCCAGCAGAAACGTTGTGCGATAAGCCTAATGGTGGCTCGTACACCTGGATGAGAGAGTTTGTGCAACGTATTGAAGACGTTGCGTCGACAACTCTTCGGAACTATTGGGCGTGGTTGACTAGCAGAGACATCGCACAAAATTGCATCCTTGTCTGATCCAACAGGACAAAGTCGCAGTTTGAGAGTTGTGGACGACAACTCATGATGCAGCTCAAGGTCTTCCTTTTGACGCCGAGCTAGTTCAACGAGATCAATACCCTCGATATAGTTTATCGAAGCTATTCGAGATAGTGCGTCGGCTGCGGAGTTGTTTGCTCCAGAAATGTGGCGGATGTCTGACGTGAACTGGGAAATGTAATCCAGCTGTCGCGACTCACGAGGGGAGTATTTGTCAGACGCCGAGCTGAGGGAAAAGGTTAACGGTTTGTGGTCTGTGAAAATAATGAAATCACGACCTTCCACAGAATGTCGAAAATGGCGTACAGAACAGTACATGGCTAGGAGTTCCCTACCAAATGTACTGTATCTTGTTTCCGCGTCTTGCAGCCGCCTCGAGAAAAAGGCTAACGGTTGCCACTGGTTGTCAGTCAACTGTTGCAAAACTGCTCCAATTGCTGAATCAGATGCATCAACAGCAATACTCAGAGGAGCATTGGGGTCATGATGCATAAGCATGGTTGCGTTCGAAATGGCTTCCTTGACTTTAGAAAAAGCAAGTCTAGCCGCGTTGTCCAGAGACACGAACTTCGCAGTTCCTCGAAGTAGATCTGTTAGTGGTCTCATGACAGAGGCACAGTTAGGGATAAACCTTCGGTAATAACTTACCAGGCCATTGAAAGTGCGGAGATGTTTCACAGTGGTCGGCTCTGGATAGTTTGTGATAGCCGCCACTTTATCTCTCAATGGGCGTATACCTTTGTTGTCAATGGTATGCCCAAGGAAGCTGAGTGATTCAACTCCTATTTCACACTTCTGTAAGTTGACTGTGATGCCATGTTTTTTAAGTCTTTCGAATGCGAGGTCCAAATGTTTAAGGTGAGTTTCCTTATCTGGACTCGCAATTAGACAGTCATCGATGTAGACATGAACAAAATTCAAACCACGGAAGACATCATCCATAAAGCGTTGGAATGTTTGTGCTGCATTCCGAAGACCAAATGGCATGCGCAGGAATTCAAACAGGCCAAAAGGAGTAATAATGGCTGTTTTCGCGATATCTTCTGCTGCCATAGGTATCTGGTTGTACGCTTTGACCAAGTCGATTTTGGAGAAAATGTTCATTCCGCATAAGGTTGCAGTCAAACCGTAAACGTGAGGTATTGGGTAGCAGTCCGGAGTTGTTTTGGCGTTAAGCCTTCGGTAATCACCGGTTGGACGCCAGTCGTTGCTATCCTTTTTGGGAACCATGTGCAATGATGGTGCCCAAGGACTGTTTGACGGTCTGATAATGCCCAGTTCCAGCATGTGGTCGAATTCGCTTCTGGCCGTTTTGAGCTTATCGGGGGCTAAGCGGCGCGCTTTGGATGCCACAGGTGGACCTGTGGTTGTGACGTGATGCATAACATTGCTGGTTATGCACGGAAGAGTGTGCTTCGGTTGTCGCAACTCTGGATATTTCTCCAAAACTGCTTGCTAGGACGCGTCGCCTGATTGTTTGGTCCTAACGATGGCTAAACTCGGACCTACATAGGTGGTGCCGCCAGTGGATAACTTTGTGTTGTTATCTATCAGTCGTCGACGGCGAGCATCTACGAGTAGATCGTAATGGTCTAGCAAATCTATGCCAATGATGTGCATAGAAACTTCGGCCAGGAGGAAAATCCAGTGGATAGGTTTACGTAAACCTAAGTTGAGGTAGGCATACTGTCTCCCGAATGTCGCGATTGCCTTGCCGTTGGCTGCTTGAAGATTGAAGGATGGGTCAAGATGGCACTCCTTTGTCGGTGCGGGAAGAACGCTAACTTCTGCGCCGGTGTCGGTGACGCAGAGCAAATGGCTGCTTCCACCGGCTACTGTTGCAGTGAACACGTGCCGGCGTGACCGTTTCCCGAATTTGTGTCCTTGTTACAACTGCATGGTTTCCGAAATCGTCTCCGTAAATATTACGAAACCAGCACCACTCAGGGTTTTCCACCCCGTTAGGTTTAGTTTTGGAGCTACCACGCGATTTGCTGCGATGCTCTAAGAAGTGTTGCTGTAGAGCTGTACGCGAACTAGGACTTCGAGACCGTAGCAAATGTTAAGCAGAGTTGCACGGCTTGGTCACCTCTGACTCCTGGGTCTCTGGTGTGCCACAGACAGAATACACTTTGGAGATGGGTCTGCTAGAAATCTCTAGTATTTTATCTGCCGAAGCTGCCAGGTCATCGAATGGGACTGACCGCAGTGTCACCAACACGGTTTGCACCGGTTGTGGTAGTTTCGAAAGAAATAGTTCTCGGAAGAGGCCATCGTCGAATGTTCGTGCGCCGATTACCTCCCGTATGCGTGCGAGGACTTCAGTAGCCGAGTGGCTGCCTAGCACGCGGTTACGAAGTAACCCGTGTGGGCGCTGATGATCTGTGAGATCGCTTTTCTTCAAGAGTGCGGCTTTGAGAAGTGCATGAGGATCACCTACTTCAGGATTAAACACGTACGCCGTAGCATGTCTGTCTACTTCTCGTTGCAGTGACTGTATGACAGCGAGAAATCGAGAATGAGGATCTGAGACGCCCTGTCTTCGAAGATCGGCGTCGGCATGCAGAAACCATGTTTCCGCATTGTCTGGCCAATATGGCACGAGTTGGAGAGTCGGCTTAATACGAATAAGCTTGGGAGTGTGGTTGGACATGAGAAAGTGTAGTAAATGGATACATAAATGTTATCGAAATGAAGACAGTATACAAATATAAAATGGAACAGGCTCACCAAATCAATATTTTTTATTGGTCGGGATATGTGATCACGTCGGGCTCACCAATTTAGGATTTGTCCTGGTGCAAACTTGACAGACACGAAGACTAATCACTAATTATTCAGACTTGTTATATACCCACGAATACGAGGCCAAGGAAGAACACGATAGCATAGTCGGATGGAATAGTATATTTGGATGGTTGTGCCAAAATACCGATGTGTATCAACTAACTGGCTAGAGAGTGGAATACGAGCAGTGCAACGTAACACGACAGCGTGCCAAATGGCGGGGATGCTTGACTGGGTGCCTTCAGCTTAGCGAGTCCAGTTAGACTATCAAGATCAGCATCAATGTCGAAAGTCATCCAACCCTAGGCTATTGATTTTGGGGAAGTGTGTGACGCTACAGATTGACTACAGAGAATATAGAAACTTTCCAAGACTTTGTTTTTCATCATCACTTTTACTGTTATCTTCTAATACATATACACGAATTAATTTGACAATGTTGGTACCAAAAGTAATGTGGTGAATAATTTGAAAATATGATTTTAAAGCCTGGCGAGAATTTACCGAAAATACGTATTCGCTTCAGACTTTGCCTTCTGATTAAACTCTTCCTGCCAGTCTTAATTTTTACAGGAATAGCCATGAAACATTTTAGTGTAATCCTGTTAATTCTCTTCAAGTATTTCTTCATAAATCTTTCAAGCAGCTCTCAACTTCTTGACCAACTCAATCTACATAATTGAAATACAAATTTACAGAATAATATCCCATTTGAAACACTCGCATGGAGCAGAAAATATTTTTCCCTCACACTACAGAAGTGTACCGGAACAACCAGAATTGAGCTGCAGAAATATCAGTGTCCTATACTCTCGCTATTGATGTTGTGTGTTAAAAGGTAAAGCGCAAGTTTATGAAATATGCGCTACGCTGAAAAGTCTCAGCTTTGAGACTTCGCCGTGTAATCTTCACCTCATCTCATGTGAACTGAAATGACTACAGACACCTGTTAAACGACATCTGTTAAAGTTCAGTAAGAAATATGCTGACACACAAGTTTTCTTCTGTTTGATGGAGACTTTACAACCGATTACTCGCCCTGCTGATGTAGTTTCTGGGTTACTTCTTACGCTTGTATTTAGTACATAGGGTCTTTCCTTGTCTCAGGCAAAGGTCATAATGAACGGGCGGAGATTGTTCGCCAAAAGTTAGAAGCAGCTCGTGTAAGTATATATCCTTACTTTAATGTGCAATTGTTAAAATAAGATGAGTTATGAGTAGTGGGTAAAATATAATTAATTGCTTATAATTTAAGTGTGAGGAACCTGGTATTTTGCAGGAAATGTGTTCTGTGCGTTTCGCATGCCGAAATAACTCCGGATGAATTTTTAATGAACATATTTTCATCTAAATCCTGTTTTTATCAACTCATTTCCTTGTGACCAGTTAGGTGTTATCGAAGCTTTTCTAATTAAGCTAGTAGCCAGGCTACTATAAGTTAGGATGATATTGTTAAATCAGTATTCTATAGCCAATTACGCTGCAGTGGAGTGATGATGTGTGTGATACCTAATTATAAGCAGTTTGATTATTCCTTACTAGCATTTTTGGCTGTGTTATGCACTTACATTTCCGTAATGTTTGTTTTGTCTCAAGTGGAAGGGTGGAACACCTCACCTCACTTCGTTGTCATTTATACCTCACACATACCATCACATGTTCTACACTTGTAATACTTTATGGTTTCTTACAGTATCAGATACTTAAGTATTTTCATCAAAGGTAAATTATGTTCTCGATTAAAGTATATCGTATGCTTTCTGCTTTACCGCTTTCTTTCATTTATGAAACTACGTTCTTATTTTTCTTTTAGAAATATACTCATAGTAAACCAATCGCGCTGGTAATATCCTTAAGCGGGGTCAAGGTTTGTCATGAGAACAATGAAGTGAGTACCCTGTTATGACTGTTCACTAATTTTGTTATTTTGCCGATAGTGGCACTAGTAGCGTAATAGATCTTAAGTCTTGAAGCTATGCACCACACTGTATTGATAAAAATAAGCTGCAAAACTTTTGTCATTCAAGAAGTTTGGATATGTAAACGTTTTGGTGACTACTAAATTCTGGTGAGAGACCTGACAGCCGAGTTGGAGGCTTCGGCATTACGTAGTACTCATCCCTTAAATATGCTCATGGAAGGGACTGGCTAAAAAAGACAATAGTCAGTAGTTCCTAGCTAGATTTTTAAGGCAGGCTAATTTCCAACATCAATAGTTCGAGTAGAGGAAACTTGTAGTTTTTGAGCTCTCTCTTCCAGGTCTTGAGGCTCGGTTCTTTTTATCTGGTTGGACCCCTTCGATGATCACAGAGGTCTTTGCGTCTTCCTGCTTGTAGTTTTCGAGGTAATGATTGTCTATTTGAAGGTAATTTAGTTACAAATTGTAGCCTGGTTCGTTTTGGAGGGGGGGGGGACAACGGAGCTGCAGATAAGATCGATCAACCGTTTGCAACTCCTGTTTTTGTAAGCACCTGCAAGTAGGCATTAAGCGCTACTCAAGAAGTGCTAGAAACAGGGTGAGCGCGGAATGAGAAAAAGAGGAGTGAAAAGTACTAATGAAAAGATGATTGTTACTGGTGATAATATGGAGGAGAGATGCATGTTACTGCAGATACTAGGGTTGGGGAATACAAGGATGGAAGGGTGTATCATCAGTTACTACTGACGAATGTTCTTGATAAGCCATTTACGCTCACGTACTCATTCAGTAGTCGTTTGAAGGAGTCGACTGATGTAGCTGTTGCCACTTCCTTCGACAGCACGTTCCACAAAGCACATGCTGTGTGTGAAAAGTTAAATCTGCCTCTCGTCTTCGCCGTGTGGTGGGGTGTGTGAGTGGGGTTCCCACGAGACTGTCGGCTTTTGACCGATAACGTTGTTCTATTTGGGTGGTCCGATTGGTGAACGATATTGTGGGCTGTTATCAGGTTGCCTCGTTTCATTCGATAGCTTAGTGTGAACAAGTTGAGTTGTCTGAGGTGTTGCGTATATGTTCTCCTGTTGGTCCGACTACCAACCTTGTCGCTGTTCCCTGTAACTTCTCGGGAGTATTTGAGTCTCCCTTTAGTAGTGAGGAGAGGGGGACTATCATGTTGGACAACTCTAACAGGTTTTAAATACCATAAGGAATCGTTCTGGGGTTAAAGATCCGAGCTGCCTTCTTAGGAAGTGAATGATGGCGTTCGCCTTTGCTGCCATTCCCTTATAAATGCCAGTAGTGTCCAGTGTGTGAGAAAAGTTTAGTCCTAGGTCGTTTTCTGTGGACATCTTGGTGATTGCACACTTGCTAAGAGTGTAGCTGATTTTCCTCGCCTCTGGTGTGCGGAGATAAATCACCTTGTATTTCTCCAGGTTAAAGCTTGAACGGTTTGAGGCTGACCAGAACTGCAGCTGGTAGAGGTCATTTTGGAGTATCCTTGGATCCTCCTCGTCACCTATCATCTTCCATATTTGATGTCGTTGGCGAATAGGAGGATAGACGTGGAGATTTTAGTGGCGGGACCATTTATGCATAGTAAAAATAGGAGTGGCGTGAGAAATGTTTCTTGAGAACCTCCTATTCCAGTGGCTGGAGACTCTAGGTGTTATGGCTCAGAACCGATGTCAGTGGCGCAGATATGTACATACATTATCCTCTTCTTAACGACGCTATATCGAATCTCACCATTTACTCATTCTTCGTTTATCTCTTCTCGTACCTTATATTTCTTTCGACTTAATTTTCTTATCTTCATCTTCCAATTCACTGCCCTTTCCTTGATGTACTTATATGAGCTGTGACAACTCGGACCGTTACGCAGTAATGCCTGGTCCTAGGTTGATTTGGATAAATGGATGGTCTCAATTACTGATTATCCTAATCTAAAAGAAAGGCGAGAAATCACTTTGTGATAACCACAGCAGAATCAATCTGACGAACATTGTGTTTAATATTCTAGGTTCTACAATCATTAGAAGTCTAAAGAAAACTAGAAAACAGCAAACAAGAGCAAATTAGACAGGTTTCATGCGTGGCTGTGAGTGTATCAACCAGATATTCATCTTCTTTCAGATACTGGAACTTATTTACGTTTACCGACTACCGACACTGGCCGTATTGCTTGACCTGAAGAGGACATTTGACCCCGTCGTTCGAGAGATCTTACGGCAGTGTCTTTCACTGAAAGGGGTGTCGAGTAGGTGCATCACCCTGCCTCCATACTCAAACACCTATGGGTGTATTAGAGCCTATAGTGAGTTATCAAGCGACTTGTGCACACCAAGGAAATCCACTCTCTCCATTCTTATTCAACTTCATCATGGACGTACTTATTGAGATTTCCATCTCAGTATGGCATTGATTTTGTTAAAGGAGAATCCCTAGTAGATCTACAGTGTGCAGATGATACATCTCTGTAAGGTGAAGACGCTGAAAAGACAGTCCTATGAACATCTTAATTGACAACTTGAGAATGTTTGAAATATGTTTCTCACCCACCACCCAAGTGAAAAATGTTGCTCCAGGACTGGTCGTTGTTGGTGCTTTCTCCAACAATAGACAGTGAAGTGGTTAGTAGCATTAACCACTTCGGAAATCGAATCGACAAAGGTGGACCAGTGATCGATGAAATCTCTGCACGGATACAATATGCTCTCTTGGCATTCGCCAACTTACGTTATTTATGACACCGCCGTGATATCCGATTGTCGATTAGGGGTCGAATGTACTGCGCTACAGGTCGCTTTGTTCTATAATATGTGCGTTAAACATGGTCATTAAAACTGAAAGACATAAGAAGGCTTCAGGTGTTCGACCACCAACACCACCACCTTCGCGGCATAGACCGCAGCTCCTGGCGCCATTATATCAGTAACGTAGAAGTCAGGTGTAGGGTTTGAGGGAGAAAAGGACAGTCAGCTAGTGAAGTCGTGAACATTTATCGACTGAGGTGGCTGCGAAATGTGTTACTCCTGCCCTGTTACCATCTTCTCCGTGGCACAATGTTAGCTGAAGTAAGTTTAGGTTTTAAAATGGTTAGAAGTAGTCAAACCAAAACATAGCATCAGTCGTTGAAGTCTTTGACTGTTGATCTGAGTAGTGTAGGGAAATGTGGACTTCGCTGTTGAAGTCCATATGACAATATAAATAATTGGTTAGAGACTCTAGGTGACATGGCTGAGGATCGATGTCAGTGGGGCAGATATACCCACACATCAACTTCATCTTAGTCTTCAAACTGAATTTCAATATCCTCTCATTCTCCCCTGCCCTCTTTTGATCACATGCTAACACTTGTGACTGCATTCTTCTCTATTTCTTTGACTTTCATCATGTTATACGGCTATGAGGCATGGTCGTTGAGAGTGGGAGATATCAAGAGATTTCAGTTTTCCAAACAAATATATTACCGTAACATTGCTCAAGCGTTGTGGAGTCACTGTGTGAGCAATGTCGAGGTAATGCGAAGGATACGAGGCAAGAAAGGAGAGTCGGCTGATGGGGCTGTGAACCTTAACCAACTGAGGTGGCTTGGACATGCATTGCACATGCCAAGCCACCGCGTGCCTTGATGTGGAATTTTCGCCGAAGTAGGGTTGTGTGTTGGAAGAAGGCTGAGTGGTCAGACCAAGATGTGGAACCAGTCCATGGAGTCTGTGACTGTTGGTCTGAGCTATGTAGGGATGTGTAGGTTACATGGGCAGGGTCCCCAAGACCATAGGAATAAATAGTTGGAGACCCTTGGTGACATGGCTGGAAATCGGTAACAATGGTGCCAGTTTTCTCACTCTTTGACGTCTTCGAAAGCTTGAACGTTTTAGCTAACCTTCATTTTTCACATTCCTTTTCTTCCCACACCTTAATTTATTTTGATGTCAGTCTTTTTCTACTCATCTCTTCTTTTCATACTGTTTCGATGTGTGGTAGCTTGAACCAATGCACTGGTGTGCGAGGTTCAATCTGCATTTGATTCTCTCTCGTTTTAAGACTCAGTCGCTCATCACAGACTTAAATTCTAGGCTGTCTGAATCATCTCCAGTCCCTACATAGTCCCTTTTTCAGTGTGGTATCTGATAAAATGCCTTCCATAAGCCACACACATTTTATTTGCTCACGTTCAGCGTTCGAACTTTGATGCAGATCAATCACCAAACAGGTTTGGGTAGAACTCTGGAAAACCTTCCTTTTGATGTATTCTATGTCCTGGAGGTGAACAAACGGGACCTTAGTGATTGTAATAACTGTAACCTTTCAATTCAAAGTGCGCATTTATCACGTGTTTATCCAAAGACATTGTAGCATCAGCAGATGACCTCACTGGTATTGTTTTCTCATTAAGTATCAGAGCTGAGATGGAAATAGTCGACTGGATCCCCATTAATAGTCCTTTGTATGCGGTTAGGCTGGGATGTTTCATTAGAGTGAGGAATGACTGGCAAACGAAATGATGTCTCATCGTCATCTGCCCATGCTCCGATTGAAAGCAACCTGGATGAAGTTAAGGATGACTTCCAGCATCAGTTAAGTGGCATCTTATACAAATTGCTGTCGGCAAATATTGTAGTGATAACTGGGAACTTGAATGTAGAGATCGGGCTTCTGGTTTCAGAAGAGTTCTTTTAGTCGGTCAGTATAGATTAGTCGGTCGAAAGCTAGACAATGAAGGCCGTCTTCTATAGCAACCAGTCCATTCGGGCTGACGAAATCTGAGCGCAGATTCAAAATTTCTGTTTGGCATTTGCACAGTCCTGTCATCTCTAGCGCCAATGAGATATCCGACTACCTACTCAGCGAAACGTTTGTAGCGCTGCCATCCTCTCTTCTTATGTACCTCTGCGATACATAGCTCCTGAAATAAAAGTTTTGAAAGGCTTGCAGGTTTTTAAGCCTAAGTGTCTTAGCGTTGCTAACGTATGATGGAATCATTATACCAGCAGGCATCGTGTGCAGTGGTCTCCCTTATCTGTTGAATCAAGCAGGATTTGCGTAAGGACTGCAAGGCCTGGTGGCCACAGCGGCAAGTGAGCTGGAAGCAGCAGCTGTATCTAACAACAGTCTGAAGCTGTTCCAGCTCATCCTAGGCACCAGTCGCATGAAGCCTGTTGTCATTGATACGGTCTGTGAAACGGACAGTACGCCGATCCACAACGTTTCAAGTTGATTGGGACATTTGATGGAGCACCACTAAACGCGATTTAGCTGACATACTGCTCTTGCAATATGGACCTCAATTTCTTGTGCCCCACAATCGGTCAACACCAACCCAAGGTTTTGAACCTGGGTATTTCTATGAGTGCTGGCGTAGGTGTGACTGATGAGATTTCGAGGCGTATATTGAAAGCGAGCGTGCTATTCACTAATTTAAATCACTTTGATGCTGTCCTAACATTATACTTGCTGTAGAAAAGTTGAGTATCCAACCCGTCAATTTGGGAGGTTCTGCTCTAAGTCTATGAAACCGGTCTCTCTTATTTGAGGATGTTTGTCCACTTTGAATGTTCGATCACATTTATTTCTGTAAGATCGTTTTCATTTAGTGGGAAAATGTTATGCTTTCGAACGCTAATAGTTATATATGTTCCGAAACGAATATAACACACACGCTTAGCGGACAGCTTAGTACGCCAGAGCCACTGACTGCAACCCCGGGACGAATAGAGAGAAGACCGAAGCTGGCAGATGGGAGAGTGTATTACTCCGAGAATATAGTGATAAATCAATCCGAAGCACGTGAATAAATATACACATGAAAAATGACCTTGTCCTCAAGTTGAGGCATTCGCATAGTAAGAGTAAAGATTAACCAATTAGCGAATTACATTACAATGGGGGCAGAAAGTAGACTACTAGTCATACTGTAAAAATAGTATGGGAATGACACATTAAAATGTTCAGATCAGTAACAATGTTTTGTACAAAACTGGGACATCACAACAGACAACCATGCGGGTTATCCTGAGGTAGGCGGCAGATGTTTGTGCTTAATTTAGATTGTCATTCATTAACTGAGGCTGTCATGAACCACTGACTTTAGTGGCTTAGATATGTATCATGAATATCGTCCCATAGGCTCACAATCCGTTTACTGTTTACTTGTTCTGGGATTAGTTTAGAAAAGCTTAGACGTTGCTATTGTATGACGCGTCGCCGTGGGATGAAAGAGTTTTATTGTGTCAGTATCTGTCAATGCCGCACGGCTCCTTAGATGATGTACGAGAGATTACACAATTCATTGGCTTAAAACGATAGGATACATGACTTAGAATTTGAACCAGTGGCAATTATGTCGCAGTTTTCTTTCTCCTTGTTTGTCCTCAGGGAAGACAAAAAGCAAAAAGATTAAACTTTATACACGCAAAACCACATATAAAGACTCAACTATTACCTTATTTAGTTCGTGCATTGTATAAAGAAAAGCATCTGAAAAACAGTTTTGTCAACCAACTTTGTAATGGCGAACAGTTATAATAACCCTGCAGACATTAAGTATTTCAGCAATCCTATTATTATTCATAATATATTGTAAGCCATCACCCCTGTTAATATGTCTGAAAAATGTTGTACAATAAGTAAATTGATACTGCGAATTCTGTTCTGTAAACAAAATCATGGTTAGGAATAAAGCAACTACATTATTAGTATTACTAACATCGAGAAGTGAAGCGAAAATAGAGATTATTCCTTGTATTTATGCTTGGGACTGCTTCTTTAATAACCCATCAATGTTTTCGTCGCTTTTCTTTTCCAAATTTTATGTCTCGTTAGTGCTACTTTACCATGTTGTATGGCGCATCTCTTGGTGTCCTTGCTGTACCAAATTTGTATACTAAATGAATAAGTAATGAACTAGACAAATCTTATAGAATGTTTAATGTTAAACAAGTAATATTGAGCAGGCATCAATATTTGTATGCAACCATTTGATGTTGTCTGATATGATAATGCTGTTTCGTCAAAAGCCATAGGGGCTAAATATGAAGTATCGAAGCAGTCTCAAGTGATAGATATTGGTTATTTCAAAAGACCTAGGTACAGTCTAGGTGGTTTTGTCATACACAAATTGATAGCAGTTCAATAATACCATTCATAAATAATGAAGTCGCTGTGAAACAAAGTTTTTGGATTGTTCATTCTGACTGCTGTAGAGTTCCGGAACCAGATGAAACAGCTGTTCAACTCTTCTCCACTCTCACTAGTTGATAAAAGATTTTAGATTGACTAAATTTCTGAAACTGTCAGCGGAAATCCAAATGCGTTCATACTTAACGATAAAAAATAAACAATGCTGTAGGGCTAACCAGTATATATATATATCATTAGATTGGGCTTTTGCTCAAACAGTTTGAAGGGTCGATTTCATGAAGACCACATTTTTCATATCTGATTTTAAAAAAATAATGTTTTACTAACTTCTTCCACTTGCTTTTTTATTGATAACAGCGTGTTTACATGGCCCATGCACTTCGTCGCATTTCATACGCTACTTGTGACCCCGAAAATCTTCAGTTTGCGTTCCTTGCCAGAGAACCAAAAGCACAGCCTAATATTCAGTACTGTCATGCTTTTGTTACTGCTACGCCTGAAGCGGTAAGCTACTATTACATCTACAAACTCCTGCTTATGAATCATACTGAATAATTTTTATTTCAGGGATTTTCGTTTAGCTTGTATATATATATATATATATATATATATATATATATATATATATATATATAGGTGCGTAGTAACATGTCTTGAACACTGAACTACCTATAAGTAATAAATCAGGATCACCCACTTTCGTTGATATATCGTTAGATATATTTAACTTTTCTTATCATTTAGTTCCACTTTCTTTACTTAATACTACTGGGAGTTATCGTTGAGGTTGGTAATTAGTTAGCATTTAATTCGCCTTCACTAGTTATTAGTCTGTGACCTTAACATACTGAGATTTCATGATAATTAATTTAGGATAGCCTACAAATTTTCATTGATGTTTACTAACTTGTGAGTCAGTGACCATCTTCTGGTGATTTTCCCGAAGGATCTTGAATCGAAATTCCTCATAAGACTCTTAGATTTACAAAAATATAACGTACATCGAATATATCTATCTTTGTTCCTGAACACTCACTACAACACCAGGCTTTCTGGGAGTGAAAATTCTTATTACCGTTTCACGTTTGCCTAGACATATGCAACTCAGTAATCACCTTAATGTTCATGCGTCGGGAAATGAAGCCTTATTAGATGAAAAAGAAGGGGTTTAAACAGTTGAGTTGTTTACTGAAGATAGTGCCTAAAGTAAATGAGTCATAGCTTCATAGCTCATCGGTGTGGCTAGTTGATTTTCAGCCAGTTGATCTCAACTTGTGAGGTTATAGCATCCAGGTAATATCATTAACCCTTGCACAATAGTTACTGCATCTGGTCTTTGAGTTTCATTATTAGTAAGCGTCTAGACATCTGATACGTACTAAAACTTCTCATCTTCATATGCACTTCCGAGAAACTTCGAACTGACATATTTGATCGCGCCGGTTGAGATACAATCACATGTAATTTTGAATCAACTTGTGATCAGCGTCCAGTTAGGAATATCTTCTAGACAGTTTGTCTGTATAGATTGTTTATTCTGTGTCTGTCATTTTCAAGTCGGATAATGTCTCTTATTATGTTTGAAGTTATTTCTGATTAGGAAAATGTGGTTGTCAGTGCAGAATTATGGAGAACTATCACAGTTGTCATTTGGTTAGCAGGGAACTTCCAAGATGCGTTCAATATGCATTTCTACTTAGCTCGTCTTAACGTGCACCTTAAAGTTGCCAGTTAATGTGACTATACTCTTACTTTATGTTTCTTCGGGTGGAGTTGTTGACTTGTGATTAGATTTCTTTCTTTTAAGTCGCTGTGTGCGCAGATAAAAACCAGGGATAAGCTCTCAATTGTTTTGAATCCTTGTTAACGCTGATAACGTACTCTGACTATTTATTTTCAACGCATGAATGCTGATTAATTACCGGCTGGTATAGGGTTTTTATAAGTTGTAACATAAGTTCAGTAAACAGTCTTCATACCATTGTTTTACCGCTGGTGGTAGATTGCTGTGATTCAATATCTAATTGGTTGGAGTATTCAACCTTCAAGCTATGGGTACTGGGCTCAAATCTTACTCTCCCTATTTAGACCCAGAGAATCGGTTAGTATCATAAGGCCTCACTTGATAAGTTTAATTCACACTCTAGTAGATGAGCAGGTAGAAAAGTAACATTGTTTGACATTTTGATTGCCGGTTCGATTAATTTCCCGTCACTCCAAATTTTCCTGTGGTGGTTGCGTTTTGTATGCCAGACTTACCTTTGTCATTGAAGCGAGATTCTGAATTCTAACAGTATAACACTTTGCTTTTATGTAGGCGGAGGAACTAAACACAATAATGGGAGAAGCATTTCGCTTGGCCTATGCACAGCAGCGCCTTAATGCAGCATCTAACAACCTTGTTTCATTCCAGTCACCCAGTAAACATATGTCAGCGTCTCAGGTTCAACAAACACCGATAAGTGTCATGTGTTCTATTCCAATAAGCCAAGATGTGTCAGTGGGCATAAATTCTTCAAGGTTGGTTCATTTGTTTTCCCAGTCCTTTTTTATTTTTCTCGAAGCAACTGCAAAACGTTATCGTTCGTTTATTCAGCTTTCACAACTGTCACAGAATTGTGGCAAAGACTCTGGCATGCTTACGGGCTATTCGGTGATTGTCGCACACTAAACAGGTTTGCTTCGATAGTAGAGTTGATAAAATCGTCTAATATGATAGTCAGTATTCTCAAAGGTCTTTATGCAGAAAGTTTGAGTCATTTTAGGTGTAATTTCAGGCTTCACTGCTGTGTTTGGTTGGTGATGGTGCATTGGAGGAGGCCACCAACTATTGATTATGACATTACCGAAGAGAAGTTAAACATGTGTTTTGTTATTTCGTTCACATGAGAGTATTTCAGAAATACTGACTGAGTTTTTTTTCAACCCAATTTTACACAGAAATTGTATCGCAGGGAGTAATAATGTCGTCTCCACTTTTAATTAATCAGACTTCTGTAATATCTCAGTAGGTTGTCTTTAATTCCATTGATGTACTTTCCCACACGTAACCAGAAACATCCTGCGAAATCTGTTTGAAAGCCATACCAGTGTAGTTATCAACTGAGTAAGTTGATACTACGTGGATATGCTTGGTTCGGTCATTTCTCATTTTTTTCCAATTGATCTAAGTGACTTGCCAATTCAAAAGTTAAATCTCATCATTTCCCACACTCTTTTGTTTGATAGCCAAACTTCTCAAACTGCCAATATGGATCATAGTAACCATGCTCAGTTAAGTGTATCCAGTAAACCTCTACCACCCTTACCGGAAATCGATCAACCCACATCAAGTAATAAAACTGATATTTCTGTCCCATGTGAAGCGGACAACATTCCACAAAACGTCGCTATCGCCACTGATAAGCAACGAGGAAGTAAGCTCCACAAGTGAGTATAAATATAAATATAGTATTTATTTAGAAGTAGTATTCATCACGGACTGACATCAGTTGGGGAACCACTGAAAATCTGGGGGCACTGGACAGCTATTTCATCTTAGTATGGAACTCCTTGGCAGTACGCACCCACGACCCGGCTAGGGATGGAACTCGGCCTTCAGGTTTCTCGGCGAAAGCATTAACCATCCAGCCATTGGGTCGGTCAGTCCGTGATGAATACTGCCTCTAAATTTTTAAATCCCCTTTCATCTCAAAAATATATTTATTGAATAGTGTGGTTTGTTTTTTGAATATTTTCCCTCTACATTTACTTGTCTGCTGAGTCGTTTTCATTTTAATTTCTTTTCGATAACTTTTTTTGGTAATTGATTAAAGTGGTTTGTGGAGAAAACACAAATATGGCGCAACTTCTTTCGAGTAAAGATCGAGAAAATTGTTCTCCCTATAAGTTATTGATGTAAAAGGTAATTTTCATCACAGTTGGACACTGGTTGAAGTACACTTAAACAAGCAAGGATATATGAACAGCTGTTCGAATCCCCTCAGAGGACTTCTAGCACTCACAGACTTTTTAAAATTTTATTTGTTTTATCTTTCGCTCCTTTATAATTAAAACTATTGTCAGAGAGGAGCTTACAGTTTTCAACTGTCCATGATGTTTTTATTGCCCTGTAATATTTGTCTCACTGGAATTCTAATCCTGTTTTCCATTTTACAGACATAAACATCACAAGCATCATCATCGCCATAAGTTACGAGATGCGACAACAAGTACTTGTGATCAAGTAATTAGTTTTAATGATTCTGCTTTACTCACTTCACAGAAAAGCAGTGAAACGGAAGGGTTTTTAGGGAAAACAGAACAGTCTAAACCTCCTCCTCCACCACGCAGTCAGTCATCTGTAACTCCATCATCTCAGTGTCCAATTCAAGGTGCTGTATCCCTATCAGCACCTGAAAATCATATGAATCAGGATCCTAACGTCGAGAATTCTGTTGTGAAACGTCATGATAGATTACCTGAAACAGGAATAGACAAGACTACGCATAAGAATGCTGAGAAACATAACGACGTTCCACCTTTGAAACCTAAATCTGTCAGTGCTCAGTAAGTTTTTTGTATTGTATATTATTTTTTTTGATTTTCGTGTTCCAATGGTATATGACAACATATATACACAGTAACGTCAGTTACGCTACTAACATGTGTTCACCTGTGGCCAGAACGATAACCTCTAAAAAGTGTTACAGTGGCATTCTTATGCCGACGCCTCATTGGGTTAGGTGACTGACTACTAAATGATTATTCTAATAATTATTAAGTTTTACTCGTGAGTCGACATAATGTTACGTACAACTGATGCAACTTTTATTCTGTATATATTTGGAACTTTATTGTATATTTACTGACCTCATGTTGCCATTTGTTCTTTTTGTCTTACCTATTCCATTGAGGTTTTATTCCTAGTTTCACCACTCAATATTAAGATTTACTCGGTGAGTCAGACTTTGCTATTGACTGTAATATTTAGTTTCGAGCCTTTTGCTTGATTTTAGAATCTGCGGGAATGTTTTAATCTTATTTTGTAACCAATACAAGGTGCTTACACTCATTTTTATCCTTTGTGATGGTAAGTAATCTCATCATTGTGAAGTGATAAACTACAAAGTTTATTGTTAAAAGTTGATGTTGGAAGTTGGTATGCACTCTTTTGTTGTTGTGTTGTTCAGACATATTAACTTCGATTGACCTTGTTTATCAATCGACATGAAACCATAGATATGATACATCGTCATGTTTTTCCATCTGGTAAACTTTAAAAGTATATTGTCTTCTACATGTTTAAAAAAAGATCCATCAGTAAATATCTTGTAAGGGATACGCAGTGTACCACACCTAATTCATTATTCTGGGCAATGATTACCACCGTTGTCATGATTTTATTTCAAACTATGTGTGACCCAAACAACAGTTGCTATCTCCGTGTGATAATCAAACTTGCCAGCCGCTATGATCTAATCAAGCTATGCATGCGAGTACACTTTTTCTTACAGTGTCTTACCCTACCAGAAATATCTATCACTAAATGATAGGATTGAAATCAGTTATTGTTGAAGTATGTATGACTATGCGGTATACACTGAAACCGCACTGCTTACTCTTCATGCAATTCTTTCGCTTTATAAGTTTCGCTTATGTAAGGACAACGACAACTGGAGTAGAAATATGTTAACTCACTTCATTTATTTATGAAAAGTGGGATGTTTGTAACTTTTATACGCCTCAGATGCCCACGTCACGGAAATAAAGGAGCCCGAATCATCTACACCAAGAAAATATCCTAAAATAATTACTCCTTTTTATACATTTGCATTATGTAATAATTAGATGCAGTTAATCTCAAAACGTTGATGTATTTGCGCAGTTCCAATTGCCACATGTGACAACAGCATGAAAAGAGGAGATGAGTAGAAAAAGACTGACATCAAAATAAATTAAGGTGTGGGAAGAAAAAGAATGTGAAAAATGAAGGTTAGCTAAAATGTTCAAGCTTTCGAAGACATCAAAGAGTGGGAAAACTGGCGCCATTGTTACCGATTTCCAGCCATGTCACCAAGGGTCTCCAACTATTTATTCCTATGGTCTTGGGGACCCTGCCCATGTAACCTACACATCCCTACATAGCTCAGACCAACAGTCACAGACTCCATGGACTGGTTCCACATCTTGGTCTGACCACTCAGCCTTCTTCCAACACACAACCCTACTTCGGCGAAAATTCCACATCAAGGCACGCGGTGGCTTGGCATGTGCAATGCATGTCCAAGCCACCTCAGTTGGTTAAGGTTCACAGCCCCATCAGCCGACTCTCCTTCTTGCCTCGTACCCTTCGCATTACCTCGACATTGCTCACACAGTGACTCCACAATGCTTGAGCAATGTTACGGTGATACATTTGTTTGGAAAACTGAAATCTCTTGATATCTCCCACTCTCAACGACCATGCCTCATAGCCGTATAACATGATAAGAACGGACTGTAGAGGAATGTACTCTTCCTTTAGTAGGTAGTCGGATATCTCACTAGTTGGTGCCAGAGATGACGCAAGTTGGCAAATGCCTTTTTGGCTCTCTGTATCCGAAATGAGATTTTGTCAGAAACCAGACGGTTGGGGCTGATGTAACTTCTCAAGTAAGTGAAGTGGTCGACGCATCCCACCACTTCACTTCACTACCTACCTATCCTTCCTTAAACTAGGAGTAGCTGTGGACCAGTCCTAGAGCATCATCTTACATTTGACAGGTTGAAAACGCATTGCGAACATGCTCAGATTTCTTCTCAATGCTTTTAGAAAACCCTGTATTATGTGAGCATCTTCACACAGTAGGAAAATATTATCCGTATACTCGAAGTCAGCCTCAGATATCTTCCAGACACTGAGGCATCATATACTTGTTCGGTGTTCCGTTCACACTCAGATGACAGAGTTGAAAAGACACAATAGTTCACACGTAAAAATAAGTAAATACAGATAATAAACAGAATCATTGAGTACAAAGTTAGTTATACGGTGAAGTTTGTTTGTTGTTTGATATTCTTTCAGCTTTATAATTTGTTCTTTCCTATGAAGTTGAGTGGCGATGCAGTCACCTAGGCTGGTGATGAAAATTGCAGGAGGGCACAGCAAGGCTCAGAGTACACCAAACAGTTACCATCCTCGTCTTAAGTTACAAATCTTCTTAACTTCAGTGAACTTTTTTTCTTGCAGGAGCATCCGATTAACTCTGTAGTCTTTGTTGGCAATGTAGATTCATAATTTGTATTAGTCTAGTGAGACAATAACAAGCGGTGTATCTGACAGCTGATAAGAAGACTGGTCAAGAGACAGTTATTGTCTTTATGAGATTGCTGAAAATAGAAGTAGCAACTAGTAGCTGAAGAAAAAGGCGACTGAAATATGCTGTCTGCCAATCTATAAAAAACAACTTGTTGTTTTCCATAATTTCGCTAAACAATCCTAGAAGATTTAATGTAGGTGTAAAACTTGGTTTGGGCACTGTGGTAGATTTTAATTCTGTTCTAGACTGTTTATTTGATATAACGAACAGAAGTACAGTATTATTTACTGAATGACGTTTCGAGCAGAATTTATTTCTCACAACCAGGTCGATGTAATCACACAGGATTAGATTCTCAAGAAGGAATTCAAATCCTCTGTAGTGTTGCCATATATATAAAGAAGGCACATGGAAAATTTTTATGCGGGATTCTTAGCAATGCTGGGGTGGCATTAGGGTAGCATTTAAACCCACAAACTCAAGCAGAAAGGAATTTTGTAGGTTATACGATCCCGAAAGGTCAATAAAACAAAATAAGACAACCCAGTAAATACCCTGTAATGACTGTAAGGTCAAGTATATAGGACAAATAAACGGATAGTGGAGGACGAACATTTGGTGAAACAAAGAAAAATAGACCCCACTAAGATAAGCAACTTAGAAAAGAGCTAGACAATCCCTCTCCATACATTGACTCATAATCCCAGTATAGAGCAGAATAGGTTGACTTTTAAATCCAATAAAGCCTGGTGGAGGGATAGACTGGACACTGAATCTCTCTTCGTCCAATCAACAACTAACATATGTAACAGCAATGATTCACCACACATTGCAGATATTTGGAGGATTTCCCTATCATTGAAACAAAAGAATGAAGAACTGTTGGACCATATAGGTGAAGTTTGAAAGTCGTATGATCACTGATGAGCATGAAGAATAGATCCTGCTCAAAATGTCATTCAGCAAAACGTACTGTACCACTGTCGTCTATGTGAAATACACAATCTGATATGGAATTAGAAAACAACTTCTTTAGTCCATATAGAAAAACGCTTCGGAACATCGGATACGTTTGCGAAGACACACAGAAAACAAGAACACAGGACTTGGCATTGCTACTTAACAACAGTCCAGGGGCCACAGCTCATACCAGCACATCAAGCGGGAATTCACCAAGGTGAAAGTCAAGAAATAGAGAAGAATGCAGTCACAAGTGTTAGCATGTGATCAAAAGAGGGCAGGGGAGAATGAGAGGATATTGAAATTCAGTTTGAAGAGTAAGATGAAGTTGATGTGTGGGTATATCTGCCCCACTGACATCGATCCTCAGCCATGTCACCTAGAGTCTCTAACCAATTATTTATGTTGTCATATGGACCTCAACAGCGAAGTCCACATTTCCCTACACTACTCAGATCAACAGTCAAAGACTTCAACGACTGATGCTATGTTTTGGTTTGACTACTTCTAACCATTTTAAAACCTAAACTTACTTCAGCTAACATTGTTCCATGGAGAAGATGGTAACAGGGCAGGAGTAACACATTTCGCAGCCACCTCAGTCGATAAATGTTCACGACTTCACTAGCTGACTGTCCTTTTCTCCCTCAAACCCTACACCTGACTTCTACGTTACTGATATAATGGCGCCAGGAGCTGCGGTCTATGCCGCGAAGGTGGTGGTGTTGGTGGTCGAACACCTGAAGCCTTCTTATGTCTTTCAGTTTTAATGACCATGTTTAACGCACATATTATAGAACAAAGCGACCTGTAGCGCAGTACACTCGACCCCTAATCGACAATCGGATATCACGGCGGTGTCATAAATAACGTAAGTTGGCGAATGCCAAGAGAGCATATTGTATCCGTGCAGAGATTTCATCGATCACTGATCTACCTTTGTCGATTCGATTTCCGAAGTGTTAATGCTAATAACCACTTCACTGTCTATTGTTGGAGAAAGCACCAACAACGACCAGTCCTGGAGCAACATTTTTCACTTGGGTGGTGGGTGAGAAACATATTTCAAACATTCTCAAGTTGTCAATTAAGATGTTCATAGGACTGTCTTTTCAGCGTCTTCACCTTACAGAGATGTATCATCTGCACACTGTAGATCTACTAGGGATTCTCCTTTAACAAAATCAATGCCATACTGAGATGGAAATCTCAATAAGTACGTCCATGATGAAGTTGAATAAGAATGGAGAGAGTGGATTTCCTTGGTGTGCACAAGTCGCTTGATAACTCACTATAGGCTCTAATACACCCATAGGTGTTTGAGTATGGAGGCAGGGTGATGCACCTACTCGACACCCCTTTCAGTGAAAGACACTGCCGTAAGATCTCTCGAACGACGGAGTCAAGTGTTTTCTTTAGGTGTACAAAGTCTGCAACGTTTCAGGTATAAAAATCGTCAATTTTGGACGGAGACTTCCTTTAGTTGGTGAAAAGGCGTCACGTGAGGCGTAAATCATCATTTCATGATGAGTGATCATTATTCAGCAACGTAATGATCATCTGTAGGATGGTGATTTTGTCATATCTCTTTGTGAATCCTAATTTATATGGGTTTTGCGGTGGTACATGCATTAGGAGAAGTAATCGGACTTTGAATCTGAGTTTGGTTAGGCATTTCTCATTGTGGTTGGAGAAAGAATTACGTTGACATTTTCCAATGAATACTGGGGCACTTAGACACCATCGTTTGTAGGTGAAAGCAGTAAAGAAGACGATCACAGTATTGACTCGAAAACAGGTTTTAGATCATAACATAGGAGCCCTCAGAAGAGTATCCGTAAATTTATTGAGGCCTATGCTGTTGGAAATTTCAAATCCCGTCTGTGTAATCGAAAACAATTGTCTTTAGTAATGTTTATCTGATTTTGGCACCAAGGATGAAATGAGAATATATTATTCCTCCTTGTTAGCTTAATTTATTTTCTTTTCCCTACTCTCTTGTCACCTTCCACATAAAATTACCTTAGCAAGTAAATATTTGATGAGGTTGTTTGAGATGTGTTGCGCAAATCCATCACATTTTTCAAGTAAACTCCATCTTTTTACATGATGCAAACTTTTTTGATGTTTGGTCTTAATATGATTGATATGTTTAAGTTTGTCTGCTTTAATTTTAAATTTGCATTTTTATATGTGATTAGTAACCTACTATTATTTCTAGTTTCTTTTTTGATTCCATTTATCGCTCTTCACTTTTCAAAATGTTCATAATTATCAAGAATTCAGTTTAACTACATTCTTTTTACTCTGTTTGACAGCAAAAGATGTCTATAATTGTTGAAATATCATGAACCGAAATGCATATGTTTACGTTTATGTAGCGGCAGTGAATGAAGTTGTTTTGATAAGTTATCCCGTTGAACGTTTGTCTTCTTTATTGTTATAATTACCTTTTTTCCATGTTATTACACGGGGTTTACCTCCTACTTGAAGGCCGTAGAGAAAAGCAACAAATAAAGGATTGAAGTGACATGATTCAAAAATGGTTACACCAGTGTCAGTGTTCACTTGTTCTGTTTTAAGTCTTACTTACGTGGGGTATCTTGCCTCCTCGTGTTTACTTACCTTTTTGTTGTTGATCATTTCGATATATCACCCGTATTGACTTTTTTCCCGGTGTTTTTGTGAAGTGTAACAAATCATACCGAAAGACATTTGTACGAGGTTGTTAATTGTTCCTTTTTTTGCTGTAGAATTGTTTCTTTTTATGATGTTGTTCCACACTCATAAAGCATAAGTCAGTAGTGAAAAGGCTATAGGTATAGTTTCTCAAATTTCCGCTTGTCTGGAAAATGATAAAGAATCTTTTCACATATGTTAGTCGTTTAAGTCGTAACAACAGAAAAAATAAAGAAATGAAAACAGCACTGAAATAAACAACACAAAATTTATGTGTAGAATAGAGCAGATGGTTGCGGGAATTCATTTATTACCCAATAATTATGGAAAAATGAAAACGAATTTATTCACGTCACTTAATTGCTATTAAATCGTAATATCAAATGCCTTTCACTTAACGATTGATGCCATCTTGAGGATGCCATGCTAGTGACTAGTATTTCACTTCATAATTTCAATCAGAAATTAGTCATTCCATTGACTTTTTTTAGTTTTCTTTTTCTCCATTATTGTCCCAGTTGAAATCAGTCATTGGAAAAGATTGGAAACTGCTCATTATTGATGGCTTCATTCGAGTAATTTATCTCCATTACCCTTAAATATTCAAACACACATCATTCATTTATCTTTTATTTTGCAATGTTTACCTTTATCAGTTGTGGATATATTGTTCATCAGGATAATATACAATACTGTTTTTCTTGTTGGTGCAGCTATTAAACTCACCAAGGGTAATAACTGAATTCTTCTGTTAGCTACAACCAAGTAAATTACCACGGTAATAACTTCATTGGTTTTTTATTCGTACTCCCTTGTTTAAGCCATTTATTGGTGGTAACTATATTCACTGACTGTTTTACTAGTAGAAAACTGGCTAATTGGACGTTGTGCGATATTCTTATGTAGAAACTGCACGTGGTTTTGGTAAAATATCAATAATGTTATTACCATTTCTCACACGACCCAAAAGTATCTTTTTTTCTGCATAACTGACAAGAAGCAATTGTACTCAAATTCTTTTGATAACTGACACCAATATAGTCGATTTTTAATGATAATAATATTAGTCATGTGGTTGTTTTTAATACTCTGTAGATTATCACAAAACTTTTATGATATGGCTGATCATCGGAGTTGCGGTGGTATTTTATTCAACAAGGAGACTCTCAGTCCTGAGAAAGATATTCAAGAAAGTAACTGTGAGTTTACCGCTGATGGTGTGCTTGCCAGCACATCTACAGCAACTACAACGTCTTCATCAACCACTGGATGCTCAACTGCTACATCCGGTTCAGGTTGTCTAGGTTCTGGTTCTGATAGCAGTTTGCCTGCTGGCAGGCGTTGTACTTGTGGCCCAAGTTGCTCAAATGGCGAACATAGTTGTACAGCGGTCAATATCAGTCCACATCCTGGAGACGGTAGCAGGTTACCAAAACCCAGTGAACATCACTTACCTGTGCCTCTAACATCTCCATGCTCTACCCCAAACTTTTCTCCACACAACGTTGTAGACGATGTCAATGAATTGTCTCATGCATCTTGGTATTTACCGAACTTGCCTCGTGAAAAAGCTTTAGAAATGCTTGCTAGGCAGCCTGTAAGTTTATTTTTCTCATGCTTCATTCTGTATGCTTTTGTCTTATCTATCTCTTATTGCCGATGAGCAATGTCTCATGCCTGAAGATTGCCGTTCTGTGTGACTTTATTGTCACGACGTCGAGAAGTCACTTTACTACTTTTGAGTTATTTTTACAAGAAAATTGTTCCCCGTTATCTAAAAAGGGTGGTCTTCTAGTATGCCAATGAGTGGAGTTGTGGTTCATTGGTTTAAGGAGATGACTTTCAACCAATATGTCATATTTAGTTCGAACTCCAGTCTACCTACCGAACTTTAGGGAGCCAGATAGTAGTATCGTTATCCCTCACGAACTGCCTACTCCACGAATATACACGTCGTTGCTGAGTGCATTTCGATTTGATTTCAATGCTAATGCGTGTTTATCTATCACATAACCAAAATTAAGATTGAACATTCCTAAACTATTAAGCTACCTATTAACCAAAAATATACTGCATTAGAGAAAATGAATAATGATTGAGAGGTGAAAATAAATAAATTTATTAGTGTTAAATTCTCCTGTATCTTTTTTTCTCATTTCGTTTAAGAGATAAAAAGGAATATATATAGCGTATTCGGTACTAACTGTAACTGCGTTATGACTAAAAAAATCCGTAGTTATTGAGTTGCACAGGATATCCGAATTTATTCAATTAAAACATTCTATGAGCATAATTGATTATAGAAACCTAACTATTTAAAGAAACAGTAAAGGTTCATATAAGTTGTTATTCTTATCAGTAATTTACCACCGGAATTAAAATATTCATTATTAAAAGAAACAATGACATAGCAAGGAGGTAAAACAGGTTATACTGAAATTAAGTTATCAGGCTTGGAGTTGTTGTTGTTTTTAGCCTATAGTTCCTGCTTTCAAATATTCTTCGCCTATTACAATTTAAACAGCATAGTACAATTTTTTGTTTTGGATTTTCAATTGTGAAGAGAATTTATCTTCACTTTGTATTTGTGTGTATCAGTAAGGCACATCTAAAACCTCAAGTAAACTCTCATTCCTTCGAAAATTCGATTCTGTGTCACATCAACGATGGACGTTACTTCTGAAATGTATAACCAACATTCTATGCTTGGTCGTTAGAAATTGCCCCCAGCATTGTGAACCAAACCGAATTGCTTTAGTATTCGTGAATTAATTAAAAGGGTATGCAATTTCTTATGGTTTCTAAATTGTGTTTCCCCAATGCTTATACATGTATAGAAGGCTAAGTCAGTAATCAGGGTATATCGAATGAGGAAATTACATTGTCATATCCTCTTTTGTTTTTAAACCAATTACAAAAAAAATTATTTTGAATGTGTTTTTCACTCTTCCTCTATTATATTTATTGATCAATAACAGCCTGGCAGTTTTGTCGTTCGGGATAGTGGAAGTCATCCAAATAGTTATGCGTTGTCGGTACGTTCCAGCAGTGAGCATATGATCGGTAGTTGTTTCCATTCTAGACAATCACACCTACCATTAAGTCAACTAAAAGACACAGTTTCTTCACTAGGATCAGTCTATCCATCGTCTGCAAGTGGAATAACTCATTTTCTTATTCAGAGAACACCTGGAGGTGGTGTCAAGCTTAAAGTAGGTGAACTGAAATGTTATTGTTTTTTGATATGCCTCCTGTTTGTTGACTCAACAAAGTTAATCCATCGTATTTTTAGTAGACACTGTAAACTATAAACCATTTGAAAACAGTATACTTATTCTGAAGCCAGTCGAATGTGATGGTAGTAACAAGCTTGACATTATACGATAGTTTCAACTGTCACGATTTGTATTTAGATTGGAATTGTTAGGTGTCAGATTGAGATGAATCAATTCAAGGGCTACTAGGCTGGCTACAGATTGCCGCACTTTCCAACCTACTCTTGACCGTATCTTAGATGTGTACTATGGATGATTATGAAATATAATTGAAATAGCTGTTATTTACTGTTTGTTATATTACCAGTAGTTTTCTAACTGATGTTAACTTATAGTTAAAATCATCTAAACAACTTGCTAGAAATGCTTATTCCTTAAACCTGAATGCTTTATTTCATAAAAATAACGAAGGTTTCTCAGAAATCTATTATCTTGAAGTAAGAGTGTCCTATGAACTGCTATTTTTGGAGTAGCAATTTAAATAGCCTTCTAGTCATTAGTATTATCACCAGTCGAGGATTAGGTGTATATAGGGATTTTCTTGTGTGTATTCTTACCAATCAGATGTTTGACTGTCTTCAGACTAATCGAATGTTTTATGTTTAGATTTTGAATATCAATCAGCTGTGTTCTGAGTGTTTGGTCACCATCACTAATCGTTTTTGCGCACTTATAGTGATGATTAGAATGTTATTGAAACCTCTGCCCCCAAGGGATATCAACCCGGAGAATAATATTAACTCAGTCTCCGTATTACGGGCCATAGGGATTCACCATTATTTTAGTTCCTAGTCTGGATTCTTCCCTATATTTTATTCTGATTATTGATTGCTCACTGAACAAATAGTTGTTGTATATATGTTTCATTAAAAGCAAACACTGTTTCAGAATATTTTTGCAGTATACATTCTTATTTTAATTATTACATCCTTCTTAAACTAATACCTTTAGTTTTTCAGTGAATATCGTGGTAGGATATGCTTTTGAAGGAATTCTATTCTTTTTTTTTATAAATCAGCTTTGCACCTCATTGTCTTACTTTTTAAGAATTTTATTACCATCATTATTTGATCAGTTAATGTTGATATGGTTATATCATGGCTTTGCTTCGACAGACTTTAGATATCTCTTAAATTCGTTGGTCATTTAAGGTAATTTTTAGCATAAGTATATCACAAGTAGTAGTAGTAGTGGGAAACGAGAAGACAGAGACGAAGGAATGCTTACTATTAACATGTGGTACAGGAGTCGTTAAATATGGTATACTTTTCACTAAGACAGTCATTTACATAATGTGCTTCATCTCCTCTTCTGCTTCTCTCTTGATTTGTTCTTAATACGCCTGCGTTGTCTCTTGGGTTTCTCTGGGCAGAATCCTTACCTATTGCTGGTGATTCCCTATGATTTCTGCCGCCCTGTCAACATATACTGCTTATATGCATTCTTATCAGCAGCGCTCACAGCAGTTGTAGTATTGTGAGTGGTAGTATGATTACGAGTAGTAGTATAAGTAGTATCCATGATATAGATATGTCGAGCAGTGAGTACTTGAACTGTGTTAACTATCGTTTTATAAAGTACAATAGTTGTATATTTACACTTTGTTTAGGAGGATTAAAACTTCTGTTCGGGAAATAAAATAGTCGAGTTAGTTCTGCTTGAGATGCATCTTTCAGGTAATGATTATCCGGAAGGTTTCATGTATAAGTATTCAAAAGTCTGTTCTACAAGGAAGAATGTAGGTAGTCATGGTTAAGAAAACACCTGTATGTCTGTTCACTTGGCACTTAGAAGAAATGATATTTGAGAAAGTATTAGCAGAAAGTTTGGAGTCTCTATCTCCAGATCATATTCAGCTTCATTCGGTTCTCAGGGCCATTCGAAATCGACATGTTCCTATTAAGCATCACCTCCGATTGTGTTTATGAGTTGAAATATAATTGCAAAGCAAGTATATCGATGTGATGAAAGGGTGAAATTGTGTTTTTTTCTGACCATTTTTCAAAGAGTCTGAGATTGAACGGTTCTCAGTAGCTGATTATTGAATTCAAAACAGCGTAGATATATCTGCAATCTTAAGAATAATCGGCAAAGAGTTTCTCTGCTACTTCACTTTGGAAAATAATAGCAACTAAACACTTCAAACCCTACCTCTGTGTTCAAAAAGAGAGCACTCAACCTAGCGTTATCTTGGTTACTATATGTTTAGTGTTTTCTTATCCGTTCTACACATTGTGCATAATACGACACTCATTGGTTTGTGCATGTATGGTAAATCCGTTATTAGTATGCTGGTTACTTGACTATTATTTTTTCCCAAAACCCTCTATCAAGACTCTAGTATCTTCCCTGCAAGTACTTATGACTAAACAAATTTTATCATTATCACTCATATTGCTAACATTCTCGAGTAATTGATCTTGCCTGTTCTGTTTCTTCCTACTGTACATGGTTACTTTGTTCAAACATAAAAGTTTATTTCTGACATAACTCTTTGTCAATTCTGTATTTATTTCAGTGTATTTTCAGTGTTGGTGCAGTTGCAAAATAAATTACTTTAAAAGTCTTATTCTAGTTTCTTTTTTAACCATTGGTAACTACTTTATTACTTCTTGTTTGTCCCTCTCTTTTGTAGAATATTATATAACAGCTTGCATCGAAATACATTTATATTACGCTCCAGTTGCTTTATAATTGATCAACTAGCTGACCCTATGAAAATGAGATCATTTTTCCCCGACTAATTTTGAATATGACTAGCTCTCTCCGATAACTTTTTTATTCTCATATAGATGTGTGTTCACAAAGATGATTTCGTTAAACTACTGTCTGACAGTATAACTGTATAATCAATTTCATTACTTCAGTTGCATGGACAGAAATATGCATATTAACCAACTGACTGACGAGAGTTCCAAGTTCTTAAGGATTTTATAAAATTCCTGATAGCTTATTTGTCATTGATTTACACTACTCTAATAACACCTGTGTGTATAGTTGTTTCGATACTGTGATATGATGGAAAATGTATCGTGTCATCTAATTGGTTGTTTGTGTTTCTGAACACGAAAGCAGAAGGTAAGGGTTCCTTGTCCATTGTAATCATGCACAGATTTGATGCTTTTCCTATAAGTTGAGGATTCAGAGAACCATTAATTTCAGAAAGTTACAAGAGTTGCAATGTGATTTTTTAGATGACTTGGACGGATGATTCTATGATTCTATGTGTTTGACTTGTATATTTTGTTGAAGCTGTGGAAATGTACTCTCCCTTGAACGACAATTAGGAGACATTTCTTTAGACAATTAAGTATCTATTCATCCTTTCGAATTATGTTCGCGCATAAATGTTCTTGGTTGGTTTTTTATTGTTCAGAAACCAGTCGTTTGACATAACTATATAGTATTTAAGATTGTTACTTTGGAAATTCGACGTAAAATTGGTAGTAAATCACAGAGGCTCTTGTTTTTCATTATGAAGAATATCTTCGTCTTAGGTATACATGCCCTCCGACTTTTCTGATTTTTTCCAGGGACTAGAAAAAGAATGGCCATCTCTTGCCTGTCTTGTATTGCACTTAACTGTGATGCCTGAAATGCTTCCTTGTCCACTCAGGCTTCCACGAGCAGCTGCAAATCCTACTTTCTCACCTATAGATCATTGTGGTCATGGGGATTTTGAGAAACCTCCTGATGTTACACCATCTCATTTTCGTCCAATGTGCAACGCCTTACAACGTGGAGCGGATACAATTTCACTAGATGAAGCTTTAGCCCGTATGACAGATGAAGACGAAGATTATCAACGACTCTCTGATTTCTCTTCGATTATGGCTGATTTAAAACTGCAGCCTAAAAGCATAATCAGAAAAATAAAGTTTCATCTTCTAAATCCGGTGGTCGAGGAAGATAGATTTTTACTTTGTTGTTGTTCTACAACTTTATTATTAATCACTTCAACTGTTACCGGTACTGCAACTACCTATTCACAATCGAATATTGTATTTACTTTTCACTTTTGTAGAGTTTCTCCTTTTTTCTGTTCTCTTCGCTACTATAATACATACTACCTCTATGAAAATTAAGTTTATTACGATAAATCTAGTCTGAGTTTCATTAATTTTTTGTCTATCTTTTCTTTGAAGGCAATAATTATCATAGTGGCTTATATTAATTATATGATACACTGTATCTTTTGTATAAGGTAGTTATATATAAGGTAGTTATATTCGGTGCATCCTATGTATGATTTCCTTTTCCTCATGATTTATATATATATATATATATATATATATATATATATATATATATATATACGCCTATGCACATTCTTTCTATTTTATTTGCTGGTGTTACTGTCATCAATTTCTGTTTCTTTTTACTTTCTAATGGTTGATGTCGTATATAATTCATTAACTAACCTTTTCATTTTCTCTTTCTTTCATTGATAAATAAAATTGTAAATGTTTATTTTCCGTTTTTCTTGCTTTATATTTATTAATTTTTGTGATATTTTCACCTTTTAGTTTGTTTCTTTCTAGTGCAATACTTGAGAACATATGTGTACTTTTAATTTCCCCTGTTTTTATTACGCCTTTCATTTCCTATGACTGTTTCTTTCAATCTTTATTTGTACTCTTATGAAAGCAAAGTAAATATACTACCTAATAATTTTTCTTCATTTGGAGATGAATTAAGGCATTTACGATTTAGTTGTTATTATTTGTGACAGGTAATATAGACACTTCCGATAAATATGACATGCTTATATCATGTATTTTTATTATGTAAAAAAGAAATGATCTCTCCTCTTAACTTATATACACATATATACACAAAACCATTCTTCATTGAAAATGAACAGTATTTTTTTCGTTACTTTTTTGCTTCCTGTTTCCTCCGTTAAATTACTTGAATAAAATGTCTGATTGAATCTGGTGTTTTCTCGAGGATGTAAAAAGTAATATTGTGTTGACAGATTTGGACTGAACGACAAATAACCTCGCGCATATCATCCGAAAGTTTATCTGTCTATTCAAGATCTAGTGCTGTGGTAATTAAAGTCTTACTTTGTGCCTATGTGACCTAGGGGTTGTTTATGTTCCATCATCCCGATTTGAGTAATGGTGTTCGATTATGGTGACAGCACTGTGTTACTTACTCTATAGGCCATCAGTACTCTGTTCTATGTGACATTTCATTTACAAATAATCAGTTCAGTGGACTAAATGCATTTCCACTTTTCTGTTACAGTGGTGATAATTAAACTGATTAGTAAGTAGGAAGAATCGATCGCTGTAGCATATAGTTGTTAAATGTCTAATAGTTGTGTCTAACTAATATTTTATGAGTTTTGTGACTTAGATTTATCCTGAGGAGTCAAGCTGTACTTTTTCCATATGTTGGTAGTAACATGGTGTGACAGCTATCGATAAAGTTTTAGCCGTGTAGCTAAATGTAGGCTTTCCAAGGATTTGAGATTATATTATATTATCATTTGTCCCTTGGGTTCCTAGTGGAATATAAGGGTTCAGTAGCACGTCACCAGCGCACTCTCTCCTCTACAGTCTTTTCAACATGGCTCCACCACTGACCATAATCTATCATTTCTTCCTCGCACGATCTCATCCATGTCACCCTCCGATACCCAACCACTTTGCGTTCCACTCGAGGGACTGACCTGGCACGTCATATCCCCAAACAATCTTCTCAGTGTATGTCCAATCCAATCAATCTTCACTTCCGTCTTGAGCATATTAGTTGGGCGATGGGTACTTGGTTGGTTCGTTGCCTGCCAGCCAGCCAGTCAGCCAGAGTTCCTTGTTTCTTAATCTTTCTGGTCATCTGATCTCCAGCATCGAGTGAGCGTAGGTGGCAGCTGTTGATGTCATGTATGTCTGCAGTTCGTTGCAAATGCTTTGTGTAACACGCCAAGTCTCTCAACCATCACATACAAGTACTGAATTAGTGTTGAAAATCCTCATCTCTTTCTTTACGCTGAGTGCAATAGCCTGCAGTGATTTCAGATTAACGCAGGGAAGCCTGTCTTGTCGTCTTTCCCATCCTGGTTGCTTTCACATCCTCATCTGTGCCACCACCTCCATCTGTAGTTGAAACGATGCTGCCTGTCTAGGTAGGTAGGTGAAACAGACTACTTCCTCTAGATTGATAGCTGTTAATTGAGGCATGGCTCAGAAGCGATCATACTAGAACAAGTATATTAGTACCCTATCATCATATCATATTTCGCTGCATCTTCTTTTGTTTAGTGGCTTTCGGTGACTCTATATGATGATTTTTTCTTTCCTTTGTTTATCTACTCTGTGCTTTTTATCTTGAACTGTCGATATGATAATGAGGTGTAGCGAACTGAACTGACAATCTCAGGCCTTGTGTTTCCTCGTTTGTCCATTCGTAATAGCGTATCATATCAGACTCAATGCGAAAATTTCAGCATTCGAGAAGGAAAATCCTCTTATAGTCTGTGAAATCAATGTTAAGAGTTGCAGCGCTTATTAAGCTGAATGGCTGAATAACCTCACTGCATCTCACCTTTACGAAGGAAATTTTGAGTGCTTGGTATATGCTGCTCAGAATAATTTCCTGAAAGGATGGTAACCAGTCACAGGTATGTAGATTTAGATGGCATAGTAATTATCTTTTTAAATATTTTTAGGTGACTTAACTTGCGTGAAGGGCACCATTTTAATTACATCAATGGATTCGCACATCAAGTAGCTTGAACGGTAATAAAACTACTGAGGAATTAGAAACTTTCATCTTAAATATATTTTTAAAATTGATCGCTGTCGATGAATTGCACTAAATATTATTCTCGATTAGCTGATTGTCAGGATTTCGGTTCTAGTCATTTTTGCACTTTTGGTAAAGATGGATAGTGGGTAACAGTGGAATTCAGGATGCTCATTTAATCCTATTCGGGACTCGTCAGCTGGAAGTGCCCGGCTTCCAGTGAGTTATATTGTTCCCACCGGGATTCGGACAGGAGCCCATATCCCAATAGAGACTGATCAATTTGGTCCAGTCAACAACGGGATAATACAACCAATTATACTACTTGCACTTTTGGTTTTAAATCGGCAGTTCTTCCTGCCATGCTTATTAGTAATAAAAAATAAGAAGTGATATTAATATAGATGGTTTTATGAGGCTTATGGTTAACGTAAATAACCAGAATGTAGAAAAGTACTAAATTCGATCTCAACAAGAAACACTCAACAATATCATTGAATATTTTCAGTCAGCTATTCTTAGTGCCATAATGTCTACATGTTTTGTCCTTTTTTCACTGGTTTAGCAAGTATTTCACTGCTGTTATCAGTCTATTTTGTTTCTTCAACACAGTTGAAGTGTGGCCTTTAATATCAGTCATCCTTTATTTCGTTTATCGGAATTATATTGACCTCGGTATATGGTAGCCTTGAAGTACCAAGGATACACGAAGTATTTTCAAAACTGTACATTCAGTGTTTCACTTCTGATATATTTTCAAGACAGAAGTGGCTTATTAAAGCTTCATCTTTCTATATTTCAAGAAGTATTTCCAGACGATTAGGATTAATATAGAGTAATTCAAATCAGCAGTGTATAAATAAAACTCTGCTTTTCTCCTCGGTTTTTATCAAAATTATTTATTTCATAAGAACAAACGATTCACTGTGATCTTTGGTTATCTTACAGCATGAAATAAATAGCTGTACAAACTATGTAGAGAAATATAGTCACTATGTAAAAGGTTAGGAATTAGGATTTTATTAAATTACTGAGATCGAGATATGTGTGATGGTTTGGAGGGTAAATTTTCTGCACTGCTTAGTTTGGTCCATATTGTTTTAAGGAGACGAGAAGGTTTGTCTACCTGAAATTATTCAAAAAGTAAACAGATCATTATTTATTTTTATATGATTCGAATAAATTAGAGACTAGCAGTAATACTATAAGCAACTTACAGTCACTACTGAATTTTCTCAGTCTGCACACTATTTGACACATTTTTATCCTATTGAAAGGAATTTAATCACCGAAGCTAAACTTTTCATACAGGTATTTTAACATGTTTTCAGGTGACTGCAACTACAAAATAAGTGGTTGTTAAACGTTCATCATAAACACGCTGCTTAATGTAGGTTTTGCACGCATTATGATGTGGACTTAACTATACATAACTTACTTGCTTTTCTATTCCACCCATGAGTTATTTTTATTTTTAGCATAACAGATTTTGGTATAATTATGTACCGATCATGACAGTCATACTTCTCAGTCATGCATGGAAAACGAAGAACTGGGAAAATGTAAATAAGTGGATATAACGAAGAATGCGGTTGTTTTTCAAAGGCTAGAATGAGGTGTGTGGATGAAACCTTGATATAGTTTCCTGGAGTTTTCAGTCTACAAAGCATAGTTTTCAATAGATGCCATGATCTGTTTCACTATATTATAGATGATTGCTTCTAAACCAGTAGTTTCCAGCCATATGCTACCAGGTAGCCCCCTTTGGAGGTAGGTTGGCTTCAGTGTTTTGGTCCGCATTTGGTATTCTCGTATTATTGATCGAATATTATTCTCACTTTGTGTAGCGAACCAAAAATGAGGATTATTTTTGGGTATTTATTTTAACTCCAATCGCGTATGGAGTGATAGAAGTTTACATTCTCTTCAAAACTATTTACTAGGTACATTCTTAGACCTTACCTCACTGAATTTATTCACATCTTCTTATGTCATGTTAAGTTGTAATGTTTCAGTAGGTAGATTGTTTTTCTACCTTATTTCAAGATTCATAAATTGTGTTGATAAGATAGTCAACAGAATTTTCAACACCAGGAAAAATTCAGAGTATCGATATATGAAAGTTAAAAAAGAACTTTTAAATATGATATACCTGCTCATTATATGATTCACTTTTGAATTGTGTTGTAATTTTGTCAATAATCTGTCCAAATATTTCCTTTATCGCTGGGTCAGGATCATTTGAACGCATATTCCGTAGAAGTTTTAATAATGCAGAGCTTTTTACTCTGTTAAATGAATTTTCATACTGCTCACGCGTTCTATTATTTGTATTAAGTGTATTTTTAACTTTTCCTCTTATATCTGATTCTAATAGTACATTTAATGCTTTTAAGGCAACTATTCGTTTAGCGTTTGATTTTTGCTCTAAACCCCATATCATACTTGTCCATATAGGTGATAATGAATTGAGGTTTTGTTGAATTCCATTTTTGTGCAGACAGTATTGTATATGAATAGGTGGTCCCATTAGATAAAATATAGGGCGTCGAATCAAATCCTTACTATAAGTATGATTTGATTGATCATGGATCTGATGTATACCGCCGTCATTTGTTTCGTTCCCATGTGCTTGTGATTCGTTCAATCGAGATATTGGTTTTAATCCGTCAAACGTCGAAAAATTTCATTTATCTGAAAAATTTATAGGGAAGCAAAGAATGTTAACAGTTGTGATGTAACAACCAATACATCTTCGCTTCCCTCTATGAAAGCAAAGTAAATGTGGGGACGACAACCACGAGGACACTGAGTTTTGGAGTGACTTTCATTATGTCCGAAGGGCATCAAAGTCTTTCATGCAGTAGGAGCCAATCTCCTCCACGATCATCGTAGGAAGATTCAAATCAGAATGGAGGAGAGCTACAATCATAGACTGCTACGCTACGCTACGCACCTACAAATAATGGAGAGAGAGAGAGGAGGGAGGAATTCCTTAGACAACTGAAATCATTAATGGACAAGACCTAACTAACCCCAGTTGGTGACATCAAGATTCTAATGTGTAGGGTGACATGAATGCCAAAGTGAGGGGAGGGGATAACACAGGAGGCGAACTCATCCATCATAGGCGGAGAAACACTCGGTGAAATGAATGAGAATGGAGAACTGTATACAGACTTCTGCGCACTCAACGATTTGGTGATTGGAGTCAGGTAGTGTGTACCAACACAAGGATATTCACAAGGTGAGCGACGTTGATTTCAGCAGACACCAGGACACACTAGAAATGAGATCGACTTCATTCCAATGTGACTAAAGTGGAGATGGAGACGCAGCCAGCCTACTGGACGCTAGATCAGATGAAGAAGGGGAGCAGATGTAGGTTCACACCACTGACTATCTGGTGCAAGGAACCTAGCCTGAGAATCAAGTTGGGAGCCAAAATCAAAGAAGCTGGTGATAGACCACATCACAGTTGAAGTTGAGCACCCAGAACAGGAAGTGAACTGAAGAATGAGACTAGGAGAACATCTTCACATTGGGCAGTCATGAGGAAAAAATGTGAGACATTTGGCCGGGGACCCGTGGGACAGAAACTGCATGGAAGAACACTGGAACTGTGTGAAAACGATGTGGAAGGAAACCTGCATAACCGTGTTAGGAAGTAAGAAGAAGGAGAAGCAAGACAAGTAATGGTTTTCTGCAGACACGTGTAAGCTGAAAGAGAATTGAGAGGAAGATGGTGAAGCAGTGAACCAGATGAAGCAGTGCAGTGCAATTCAGTGCAGGGATGAACAACGAAAAGAGTAACTGAACGCAACGTATGAAACACTACACTTGAGAAATAAGTGAAGAAGGGTGTGTCGAAAGAGGAAAGACACTTCTACGACTCACTTGTAAGTGAAGGAGAAGGAAGCACTGCAGGTAGGCGAGACAGAGACCTGACAACATTATATCAAATAAGCAGGTTACCATCTGTGAGGGAAGAGAACAACGGAGATGAAAGCAATGAAAGACAGTGAAGGAAGGTTAGTTACCGCTAGAGAGGAGAAACAAAGGAAGCGATGGGCCGACCACTTCAGAAAGTTCTTGAGTTGACTATCACCACCACCACCAGAAGCATCTGCAACTCGTCTAGAAATACCACTAGCAGCAACCGAACTATCAGTGAAGACAAACAGTCCGACAAAAGTCGAAGTGCTGAGTGCCACGCCACAAGGTTGCTGAAGGCCAGGAAAGCAGTAGGACCAGATAGAATTGCTCCAGAAGCACTGAGAAGAGACTTGGAGACAACAGTGGACATGCTGACACCACTGTTGCAGAAGGTTTGTAAGGGAGGAAGGAAGGAGGGAAAGGTATCTATCAGTTGATTGTAAGAAGGGCTACCTTGTCAAAGTGGCGAAGAATGGTGACCTAAGTGTTTGCAAGAAGTGGTGCGGAATCATGCTCCACCTCTGTCCACCCCTTGGAAGATATTGAACGACATGATCCTGGAAAGGCTTAGAAATGCTCTGCACTCAACAGGCTGGCTAGCTGGCTGGCTTCAGGAAGAACAAATCATGTGCTGATCGAATTGCAACGCCACGTCACGCCACGCCACGCATCATCATGGAACAGAGGATAGGATGGCAGTCAACTGGATCTTTACCTCAACTTCATCGATTTTGGAGATGCTTTCTATGGCTTCAACAGTATTGTTTTAGTGTCACAACCTTTATTAACCTCATTTAACAGCAGCTATATGCTACATGGCAAGTGATTCACAATGGAAAGCGGCTCAATGATACCTTCGAAGTGAAGGCAGGAAGGAGTAGGACAAGTTTGCCACCTACTCTCACCGATTATATTCCTGATTATGGTCGACTGGATGGAACTGGACTGGATCATACAACAGATAACTGTGATGAGCTGTGAGAAGAGAGGCATAGGCTGGCCGGAGCAATGGAAAGACCTCAGAAGATTTGATTTCCCTGGTGATGACCTGTGTCTAATATCGCACAAACTGGAAGATCTACATGCGAAAACTAACAAGTTGTCAGAAGAAGCAAGGCAGGGCAGGTAGGCAGGCAGTCAGAGCAGGGCAGCGAAGACGGGACTTCTTCAGGTGAACATAGAGAAGACAGAGTTGATGAAGATACCAAAGCAACCATGCAACCTCAATAAGATGAAGAAGAAGAAGCATCAATCACTGTCGACAGGAGAAATCTGAAGGAAGTAGTTGTTTCACCTACCTACCTAGACAGGCATCATCGTTTCAACTACAGATGGGGTGGTGGCACAGATGAGGATGTGAAAGCAACCAGGATGGGAAAGACGACAAGACAGGCTCCCTGCGTTAATCTGAAATCACTGCAGGCTATTGCACTCAGCGTAAAGAAAGAGATGAGGATTTTCAACACTAATTCAGTACTTGTATGTGATGGTTGAGAGACTTGGCGTGTTACACAAAGCATTTGCAACGAACTGCAGACATACATGACATCAACAGCTGCCACCTACGCTCACTCGATGCTGGAGATCAGATGACCAGAAAGATTAAGAAACAAGGAACTCTGGCTGACTGGCTGGCTGGCAGGCAACGAACCAACCAAGTACCCATCGCCCAACTAATATGCTCAAGACGGAAGTGAAGATTGATTGGATTGGACATACACTGAGAAGATTGTTTGGGGATATGACGTGCCAGGTCAGTCCCTCGAGTGGAACGCAAAGTGGTTGGGTATCGGAGGGTGACATGGATGAGATCGTGCGAGGAAGAAATGATAGATTATGGTCAGTGGTGGAGCCATGTTGAAAAGACTGTAGAGGAGAGAGTGCGATGGTGACGTGCTACTGAACCCTTATATTCCACTAGGAACCTCAGGGAGAAAGAAAGTAAATTGGGTTGTAGGCATCTGGCTGAGCATCGACCGTTTTTACAACAAATCATGAATGATCGACGAACTTTTTCTTTTCTTATATGAACATTTCTGGTTAACGTCTGCAATTTTTTTATTGTCAGTTCATAATTACATCTAATTCTTTTATAAATGTAACAGTTAGACAGTTGTTCAAATGCTGTCTCTCGATGTGTTTTATGAGATAGATTATTATGTGTATTATTATGAAGAGTTGTTTAATAATCATTTGTTAATGTAAAACATAAGATTAAGTCGCAGAATAAATGTATGTTATTTAGTTTCCATCATTGATTTGCATAGGATTTAGTAGTCGATATGTTCACATTGAAGTTTCTCACAGCTGAGTAGTTTTCCTACTGCACAACTGTATTGCTTACAGAGTTTCCGTTGGAAACCAGTTCAGCCAATATCACAAGGTATGATCTCTGACATGTGTGCCAAGAACTAGCAAAATTTACTACGATTCAAGTCGAGTATCTAGTATCTAGTGAGTCTGGTCTGTAGATTTCGCCAGTTAGATCAGAGAGATCCAAACACTGGACAGCCATTCCGTTCGTTTTCAGCTGAGCTCGTCAGCAGCATGCCCGTTAGTTCATGACACTTCTGTGTCAGAGATCATACTTTGTGATGCTACTTTGGTGCTTTCCAACAGAAACCTATTGACAGCACAGTTGTGCACTTGAGAAGGCACTCAACTGTGATAATAGTTCATGTGAAGCGTGCAATTTGTAAACTATAGTTATTGCGGTTTATTTAAGTCAGGTAGCTACATTTAGCTGAATCGAGACATTCTTCTATATGACCTGATTTGTCTGGTTACAGCTCTGGTGAGCTCAGCTCCAATCAACAGAAACAACCACCCGGTATTCAGATCACTGTGATCAGGTTGACGAAATCTACGAATTGGCCTGTGTGGTACCTTACTACTCAGGTTGCTCAGTAGTATATTGCGTTAGCTCGCATCAAATTTCGCTTGTTGAAAGTTGCAATCAGGACTTTGTACTTTTTAAACAGCTATTCATAGAATATAAAGAACTATTATGCGTTTGAAGAAGCTTGCACAAAATTCTCATTCTTTTGAGATTTTGTTAATGACACAGCCGTTGTTAGTTTACTTGACCAGCATACATTGTAAGCTTTCAATCATTTTAGTTAGCTTCAGAGAAAAAACACAGGAAATGAAATGCAGTATAAAGCATAGATTTTATTTGTTTTACTAAAATGTAGGTCATTTGAAAAGTAGCAAACTCTTATTTATTGACTTCAAACCCACAAAAAGAAACGATGCTCATAATGTACAGATACCATTTAGTTAAAGGGAAAATGAGAAATAGCAACGGTTACTCAGTAGTGGATACTGATTAAATAAGCAAAAAACACCATCTTTTTTAGATGAAGCTATAGTTTACATTCCTTCATGTTTTCTTCATTTTGTATGGCTAAACAGATGGCTAATATTTCTTCATATACTCGTTTTGCAATAATCCGACTTGATGAAACAAAACTACGTTATCAGTAAAACTAAGGCAGATTCCTTTTGTTGCATATCCAGTGGAGTTAATAGATTTACATTTCTATTTTTGGTCGTTTGGTTATAAATGAAAATTATAGTACTTGCTGATGGGCT